GCTGTGTCTGAAACAGCTTTCCTGGCACATTCCTCATCCAAATCCAAATCTACACCAGACACAAATTCTACCTCACAGACAGTAGAATCATCTCGTGTTTTAAAAATATCTGTTCCGTTGCTCTTTTACCAGATAGGAGGCAATATGGCATCTTCAAAATAAAACACGTCACGAGATATCAGGGAGATAGAAACTCTGAACTCTTCAGGGCTGCTATTAAGGCTTGTCACTCATGGCCAAAGTCAATCAGAACTGAGATTCCCCGGAGAATTTCCTCAACAGGCTGGAATAAAAGATCCAATCAGCCCAACTAATAAAATGTGAAATCATAGGAAACAAGAGCTGAGGATGAGAAAAAGTCATGGTTCTGCTCAGAGGACATGTGACTGGGCCTGAGCAACCCCCAGCCCTTCGCACCAAATAAAGATGACATCCCTCACTTGGCGGAGTCCAAAACGCCATCTGCTACGCATCCTCGAGACAGGCCGCACATCCGATTTGCTGATCAGGACAGCTTTGATCTGGCTCGAGGCCTGGTGTCATCTCCTGTTTGCCTCACTCTGACGGACAGAAAGGATACTTTCTTGAGCAATCAGAGAGGTTCTATGGAGGAAAATGCTGTTTCTGATTTGGGTTAGCGACCCAAGGGAATTTGGAGTGTGCGTGAAGGGCCATTGGGACCGAAACCAAATTCTGAGACCGTTTTTAAAATGGGCTCCAACTGGGGCGCCTGGGTGGCTTAGTCGGTTAAGCGTCCGACTTTCGCTTAGGTCATGATCTCGCGGTTCGTGGGTTCGAGCCCCGCGTCGGGCTCTGTGCTGACTGCCAGCTCAGAGCCTGGAGCCTGTTTCGGTCTGTGACTCCCTCTCTCTCTGACCCTCCCCTGCTCACACTGTCTCTCTCTCTCTCTCCTAGAAATAAATAAAACATTTAAAAAAAATAAATAAATAAATAAATAAATAAAATAAAATAAAATGGGCTCCAACCTGGAAGAGCCTTATTTTTCCGTTGTCACACACAGAACCTCTGGGTTCCGTGCGCCATGATGTGGCCGACTGTTCCCTGAAACTCTTCTTTTAAATGACACTGTCAGACCCTGCGGGCGTGTGTTGTGATTAATGGGGTTCCTGCATATGGTTCCAGTTTACGGGACATCATTTTTCTTCACGATTGCTTGTTCCTTGGTGGTCTTTTGCCTTCCCTTTCTAAAGACAGACATAAAAACTCCCTGATACTGCAGCTTCTCTTAATGATGAAACCCCTGCCTCAGATCTTGCCGGTAATTTACACCTAAATATTTCCACCACTGACGGTAACTTCCTCTTGAAATGACCCAGCTGGAATTTCCCACTTCCAGCGGGATGAGAAGGCGCGAGGCTGTTTTTGTTTCTTTTCTCTCCATTCCTTTTACCCTTCCCCCTCTCCGTCACCTCCCTGCTCCGCCCCTCTTCACTGCCTCTCACCACTCAAGCTTCATTTAGTTAAGGTGATTGCAAAACATAAAGAAATGAAAGCACAATGGAATCGCAGACGCTTGCCCATATTAAGAGCATTTAACGTTTGGTTGGTGTTTGCGTAGAAAAGTACCGAGCAGTTTTTAGCGTAAGTGTGCGACCTGTATGTCCATACCTGGTAACCGTAGGGGGATGAGGCATATTCCTATGACAGCCCTGACATCGTCAAGTTTTTATTGTTCACGTTTGAGGTTTGCCGGAGATGGGTATTTATCTGACCGAAAAACATTACACACACTTGGAGTGTTTATTCTGGATTTGTTTCTGTGCACCGAAAGTGTCTGGTACAGCTGAGGAAGACGCAAGATGAGCCAAGTGAGAAGACATTGTGAAAAATCTTGAATCCAGGCACAAGTCATTGAAAAAAAGAAAACTTGGCAAAGGAGTGGGACCTTGAAAAATAGGTGAAATGAAAAGAATACAGGCAGGGCCATCTCTCAACAACAGACTATCTGGAGATTCAGAAACACACTGCTCCCAGGTCCTTATGCCTTGACTTAGTGACCGGGTGTTTGGAAAATGAGGCTGCAAATTTACCCACAATTTCAAATGAATTCGAAATACCTTTGCAGAGCACTTGGGTGGCTCAGTCGGTTAAGTGCCGGACTTCTCATAGTTCATGGTTTGAGCCCCATGTCAGGCTCTGTGTTGACAGCTAAGAGCCTGGAGCCTGCTTCATATTCTGTCTTCCTCTCTCTCTGCCCCTCCCCTGTGCGCCTCTCTCTCTCTCTCTCTAAAACAAACATTTAAAAAAATTAGAAATACCATTACAGTGATCCAGCAGCCCCACTTCTGCTTATACATTCAAAAGAATTGAAAACAGTATTGTGAGGAGATATTTGCATCCCCACGTTTACAATAGCCAAGAGGTAGAAGCCACCCAGATGTCCACTGATGGATGGATGAATAAAGAAAATACGGTAAATACATACAATGAAATATTATGCAGCCTAAAAAGAAGGAAATCCTGCAATATACTACAACATGAGTGAGACTTGAGGGTGTTATTCGTAGTGAAATAATCCAGTCACCCACACACAAAAAGACAAATTCTATAGAATTACATTTATATGAGGTACCTGGAATGGTCAAACTCATAGAAACAGAAAGTAGGATGGTGGTTACCACAGGCTTGGGGGAGGGGACAATGGGGGGTTGTTTCATGGGTGGAGTTTTATTCATTCAAGTTAAAAACCATTCTCGAGATCTGGCATACAGCAGTGTGCATATAATTAACAACACCGGCCACTTAAAAGTTGTCAAAAGGGTAAATTTGTGTTATGTGTCTTTTACCCCAACAAAAAGCCAAAGAAAAATACATTTTCAAGTCAACAGTTCGGGGCGCCTGCGTGGCTCAGTCAGTTAAGCACCCGACTCTTGGTTCTAGCTCAGATCCTGATCTCACAGTTCTTGAGTTTGAGCCCCAAGTCGTGCTCTGTGCTGTCGGCATGGAGCCTGCTTGGGATTTTCTGTCTCCCTCTCTCTCTGCCCCTTTCCCACTTGCACACACACTCTCTCTCTCTCAAAATAAGTAAATAACCCTTTTTTAAAAATAATGAAGTCAGCAATTAAAAATTCAGAAAGTTTCTGATGCAGAAGTGGGCACGGGCTCCATTTACCCAAATATCTTGCAAGCAGCCACTGTGGAGGTTTGGAAGGTTGCTGGGTAATCAAGTCTGTGAATCAGGAGACAAGCTCTCCTGCTAGCCAGATACACTGTCAGGGCTCCAGACCTTTTTTCGGGAAAAGAGGGTAAAGCTCGCCTCCTCTCTTCCACCGCCACATCTCTATGGCTCTCTGTATTTTTGTTCACTCTACCACTTTTGTATATCAGTGCCTGTCTGGTGTGGATCATCTGGTGACACTAAAAGTGTCAAGAGAAACAAAGAAAAGACCTTGAGAACGATGACCCTGTATGAAACTTAGTTCAGCCAGCGTGTCAGTCTCGATCCATACCAGATAATTAAATAGTCCACACACACATCCTCATGGGACCCTGAGGAAATATTTAGGGGAGGGCTCATTTGTAAGGAATTCCACAGCGCTTTCTTCCTGTGAGGATCAAATTTCTTTCCAGAGCAGCCAATCGACACCCTTCTCGGGAAGAGTATCCTTTAGATACACTTTATCCAAGAGTTTTCAGCTGCCTTTATCCCCCTGCCATACCTTTCTGATGATCTTTCACATCAGTGTTCCTGTCTGCAAAATAGGGGCAATACCCTTGTCTTGATGCCAAAAGAGGGTTAACCCTTGCCTTCCAATAACTACCAGGAGACCACGAGCTCATCCCATGAGCCTCATGCATTCCCAGCAGGAGTGGTATGAGCCCCAAGGAGGCAAAAGTGGATGCTTGTGGGGAAGCAAGGATTTTTTATAGCTTAGACATTTCAGTGGTTTGCAGAACGTTTATCTCCTAGTGTTTAACTTGTCTCGTTATGGAGAATCTCAGTTTAACTGTTTTTCCCCTTAGTGAAACGATCCCGAAACAAAGGTTGGAGAGCCCTGCTCTTGCTGGTGGGCATGTTATTCATCCACAGCCGAAGTGAGCTGGATTCAAACCAAGAGGAGAAAATGATCTAGTTCTCACATTCCGATGGAAGAAAATGGACAAATGGCTAATCTCCTTCTGTAACACGCCAACAGGCACTTAGCACTGTCATCTCCCATCAAACGCACTGGGTTCAAGCGTGTTTTTTGTATTCACATTAAATCATTGAGGAGGTCTTACACCAGTGTTCCCTGTAGGGCAGAGCATGCCACAAAATCTGCAGCTCAGGGCACCTGGGTGGCTTAGTCCATGGAGCGTTTGACTTCAGCTCAGGTCATGGTCTCTCGGCTCATGGATTTGAGCCCATCATCAGGCTCTGTGCTGACAGCTCAGAGCCTGGAGCCTGCTGCAGATTCTCTCTCTCTCTCTCTCTCTCTCTCTCTCTCTGTCCTCCCCCACTCATAGTCTGTTAGTCTGTTAAAAATAAATAAACATTAAAAAAATTTAAAAAACAAACCCTGAAGCTCTCCCAAAGTATCGGTTCTGAGAGGCCAGGAGTCAGAACGTGTGCTTTTAAGCTACCAATGCCTAACTCAGTGTCTGGTTGTCGGTTCAACATATCTGATTATGAAAACTGTTGGGGTAATGGAAGAACTTTAGTGTTAAGGAGAGCTGGGTCTGGGGTGAGGCAAGCAAGGGTTTGGGGGTAAAATGTAAGGGGCCATTTGCATACCCCCTGCATTCCGAGCCAAAGACTCCCCGCAGTCCTGACCCTGGTTTTAACTGAAGTGGAGTCCAATTTCCCAACACGTCCCTTTGCGAAGTTGACTTCTGCAGGAGAGTCTCTGGAAGCAATGTGGTCAGGAGTTGCAGGGACAAGGCATTTAAAACAACTGCTTCAACACCCCTCCATTCCACTGTCATGAGTAAATTTCTTTCTACTTGCATGTGCCTCACGTTGACCCTAGCTCCCTACCTTTCTCCTTTCTGTCTTCTAGATCACCACCGATCTGAGGCAGCGCTGCACAGACAACCACACCGGGACGTCGGCCTCGGCCCCCATGGCTGCGGGCATCATCGCGCTCGCCCTGGAAGCCAAGTAAGCCTTTATCTTCCTATGTCTCCGCTGGCGACAGCCTCTCATCTCAAGGACAACTTACCCAGTCCCTACTATACAATCCCCAGCTCAACAACCCAGAATAGAATCTTCCAAATGCCACCTTCCAAACTTCAAAGACAAGGGTTTTAAAAAGAATTTTTCCCCTATGTTAAGAAAAGAATGAAAATTTGGAGGGGGGGTGTGTTATATTCTTAAAAAATCAAAGTGTGTAATTATTGTGGAGTCATAGCGCAGGCATGCCCTTTGCTTCCAGTTCTCTTGCCTTGTTGAGGTTTTTATTCTAGTCTGGGAAGGTTCCTCAGAACGGTCAGGTGCCGTTTCCCTGCAGACCAGCCAGGGAGCTCGCATTCCATGACCATAGCGCTCCCTTTGGGGGACAGAATATGTCAAGGTCATAGGACAGAAGCTCAGGGATCAGAGCAACCCATCCACCTTCAGTCCTGTTGCCCGTTGGCCAGTTCTTTGTCTGAAACATCCCTTGGAAGGCCCCTTAGATTACGAGTGGAAGGCCTCTCTCCTCTCTGTAAACACCAACAGATTGTGCCGCCGTTGCGAACATCAGTTTGTCTCAACTCTTGGAAATCCCGGATCTCCATTCTTTCAAGACCTCATACAGATCTACACACTCTTACCCTTGGTTTCAAAACCCCAAATGCCTAGAAAACTGGAAGGCCTTTTGCAGATGCGACACAAAAACTCCTTGGATGGCAAGCTGGCCCTGAGCTGACATGAAGGGATTTGTCTTTATGGTGAAAATTCATACAAATATTAATGTGTTTGATGATGCGGTGCCTGCTCAGACCACTGCTCCCCCCCCCCGAAGTGTTGCGTAATCTATGCTATAGTTGCCGTATCTGAAAAAAAAAAGTTGAATTCCAAATACATCAGGTCCAAGGATTTTAGAAAGGGGACTGTGAGCCTGCACTCATGCCCTCCTATGAGCGGATCATAAAAGCAACTGAAGCAAGGATGTAAGTGTTTTTCCAAAAATAGCCTTGCGCCTCTGCTCCAGGGAGGAATAGAAAGATACTTCCATTGAGTCGTACCCAGATGTAGAAAAATAGCAGATAACAGGAAAAGAACACAAGAATCATGATGAGACCTTCAGGAAGAACAGTACTAGCTCAACTTCAGTACGTGTAGAGCTGCCCTTTCTTTAAAGCAGAGGGCCTGTGTTAAGGCAGTCGGGCCTTAATGTCCTATGGGAATAGTGAAATATAAGCTGTGTAAAGCATGAGACAGGCAGAAGAACACAGCTTTGGATGTGGGCTGTCTAATCTGTTCAGGCTACTAGAACAAATTAGCGTAAATGAAGGAGCCTATAAACGACAAGCATTAGTTCTCATTTTTCCGGAGGCTGGGAAGTCCAAGATCAAGACACTGGCAGATTGGGTGTCTGGTGAAGGTCTACTTCCTAGGCAGGTACTATGGGAGAAATAAAGGGGCAAGGGAGCTCTCTGGGGTCTTTTGTAAGTTCCCCCAGCTGTGAAGGTGCCACTTTTATGACCTAATCACCCCCTGAAGGCCCTCCTAATGCCGTCACATGGGGCATTAAATTTCAACATACAGATTTCATGGGGATGCCAACATTCAGAACGCGGTGGGTGCCGTATCTTTTGTGGGCCTCTTGCCAAAGTATTGACACTGAGCGATATCCGAGTTCACACGAGTATCTGTATTTCTTTCTTTTTGATGAGGTTAACTAGTAATCATTGCAATGTACTATATCTTTTAAAGTGTCAAAAATTGGGATGTAGCAAAGAACTTGCACTAACCCTATTAAATTCTCACCTGACAACTTTTCACTGGACAGTTCTGACCCCAGAGGTCTCTGTCAAGTATTTTTTTTTTTAAGTTTTATTTATTTATTTTTGAGAGAGAAAGTGTAGAAGCAGGGAAGGGACGGAGAGAGAGAGAGAAAGTGAGACACAGAATCCAAAACAAGCTCCAGGCTCTGAGCTGTCAGGACAGAGCTCGATGCAGGGCTTGAACTCACAAACCGGTGAGACCATGACCTAAGCAGAAGTCAGGGATGCTTCTCTGACTGAGCCACCCAGGGGCCCCTAAGGACCTGTTTTTAAGGTGGTGACTGCTCATTGGATTTTTGAAAAGCATATTGGCTTCATCCTGAAATTCCAGGGAGTTTCTCTGGAGTATTTGCCTGTCCGCAAAATAGCAAATTAGAAAAAAGTCAGGAATTTATCCTGCACTTCCTAATTCCCCTCCAAAAATAGTTGTAATCTCAAACTTAAGCAACTAAGTGCCGTATTAGTGGCTCTAAACATGCCTGATGCTCAGTTCCTTGGGATATTACTGTATCAGTAATTCTGCAGCAATTCTTTTAACCACTATTTAAGTTCACATGGAGAATCCTTACTTCTGTGCCTCAAACAGGCCACTCGGTTGGCTGTGTTCGCCTTGGCGCTGGGAACACCCTGAAAGGCTTCATCTGTTTTCTCTTGCTTTGCCTTTGGAGCATTTTTGAAGGGTAATTTTTGCCAAAACCGTAATGGACGGAAGACAGGTGCAAGATCGAGAAATCCACTGTTAATCGAAGATTATAAGCAGTACTGTCTGATCATGGGGCCAAAGCAGATGACAAATAAACTGATAAAATAAGAAAAGAGCAACCTTGCCTTGTAACTCCTTTGGCTTGTTCTATACTTTTCAACAAGGCTTGGACCTCGCTATTTGGAAACTCAGTCTTTCCTCTCAGAAGCTAAAAAGCCTGATCCACAAGCTACTCCCTTGTAAGGAAAGTGGAGAGAAAGCCACAGCGAGGCAGAGGTATGCCCCGGGCACAGCCACTACTTCAGATGTGCGTCACCCACTCAGGTCAGGGAGTCACGGTGAGGCTGAGTGTTGAGGTGAAAAGCTGCCAGCGGGGACTGCGGTCTCCATTTCCCGGCATGTCCCACCGGTCCCCACGCTATAGGGGGGAATCATCATTTCTCCTAAGGGCACTGGATTACAGTATCTACTCAGGGAAAATGCCCACCTCCTGACCTCCCTCCCCACAGCCTGCTTTCTCTGTGCCCCAGGTGCTTGCCTGCCATCGGTAAGATAATCTTCCTCTAGAGGATTCTTCAGCCATTGGCCCTGCTGCCATTTTGATTCTGCTTGTGCCCCTCCACTCCCCCAACACAAAAACCTTCTTAGGAATCTAAGAGGAAATAAAACAGATATTTCTAAGAGGAAATAAAAAAGCATAGGAACAGATTAAACTTAAAGTGTGCAGATCTCTCATCTGAGCTCAGTAAAGGCTTGGTCCTGAGTTAACTCTGCTGCAAGAGCTCAGAGGACAGACCACCCCCCCCCCCCCAGCCATCCTTTTCCTAAGAGTGTGTAGGAACAGGTGGTTAAAACAGATCCCCTTGCAGCGCACCCAGGTAAAAACCTCGAAAAACCTGCCTCCTTTCCTCCTTCTTCCTCAGTTAGAGCCTCGTCATCTCTACAGGCGCTTCTGACAGTCTCCTCAAAAACTTTGCCTTTCTAGTGAAGAAGACAGTTTCCTCCTATTCTGAAAGAGATCACCTGCGTACAGAGTGGTGTCAGTGTTTTGCCCTCCTAAGCACCAGGAGCAATTTCGGAATAAGAGAAAAATCCTGTCATCTTAGAGGGGAGAACAGTTCATGTGTTGGGGTACTCTTTGTACGTATTAGTTCAGAGGTTCATAATATTCCAATTATGTGGATTCCATGGATTTGGAAGTAATCTTCTGGTTTTGCAGCTGAGAGAAGAGGGACTATGTAATCAGTGATTACAAGTGAATGAATTATTATTGGGGCCACTGCTGCTTAAAGCAATGTCTTTTTGTATGGCATAACTCAGAAAGTTCAAGTAAAATGTGCATCTTGGGAGCAGGTTTCTTACATGAAGAAAAGAGTGAAACAGGACTAACATTTTAGGCGAGCAGCACAGAAGAACACCAGGTCACATGTCTAAAGAGCCTAGCATCTCAATTTCAACGCTGGTGTATATTGCAAGTACTGTCCCCTATTGGGAAGAGAAAGGGAAGTTGTGAGCAAATGATGTTTCCTATAAAATGGTTTATTAAGTAAAAGTTGAAATAATTGATATTCATAAAAATATACTGTTCAGGTTTTTAAACTCTGTTTTACTGAACGTTTCCCTGACCTAAGTCTGCAACTGTTAGCAAAGAGAAGCTAGCTTAACAGAGCCTTCCATATGTTTAGTTACCAGCATTAGCTCAGATGTTCAAAATTTAAGTTTACCAAAGAAGCCTTTTGGCCTTGAGTTGCCAATGGTTTCTCATTGGAAAATTGAGTAATATATGTTTAGCAATCAAATGTTGTACAGTGAATGGTCAATTAAAGGCACCGAGTCAGAAAGAAACTTCTAAAGTTATTTAGGACTTTGAGAAAGGAGGGTACGGATGCAAAGAATCTTCCACAAATCCTTGTGTTAAGTGAACTTGAAAGCATTTTCCTCACATTTCATCTCTCAGGAGCCTCAGGGATACCTTCCTTTGAGAACATCAATATATCTACACCTAAATTCAGAAAATAAAGAAATTGAAGTGGGACCTGTCATTCTCTACTAAAAATATACCTAGAATGTATTAAACATTACCTGCTTCTGGTATGCTTGCTAGCCAACTTGACGGGCGTACGTATACACACATCTCTACACATCTCTAGGTAGGCTCATCTGTTTTCTTATTACCTCTATGTTCTCTCCAATTTCAAATGTTCTGTTGGAATATATCCTGTAGGTATTTCCAGAAGATAGATAATAGAACCTATATAGACAGAATATAGCCCTAGATAACTTACTGCTCTACTATGAGGCTTAAACTCCTTGAGACTAAGGATTGTACATTACCGTCTTTATTTATAGGTATATAACAAATATCTAGTACGCAGTAAAAAAAGAAAAACCTAAAGCTTCATGCTAGATGCTAAGTGAATTAGGCAGCGCATATTTCAAATATTTGTAAAACGTCACTTGCCTTCAAA